TTTTAGCGATTTCGAGCGCTTTTTGATGAAATAAGAGAGCGTTCAAATAGTCACCTATGTTGTCATACACCAAACCAATGTTGTTATAGGAAGTGGCCACATTGGGATGATCTGAAGAAAGATTTTTTTGTTGAATTTCCAGTGCTTTTTGGTGAAACTCAAGTGCTTTCAAATAGTCAGCCATATTCTGATACACCGAACCAATGCTGTCATAAAAAGAAGCCGAATTGATATCCGTTGATAAGAGAATGTTCTTTTGAATTTCAATGGATTGTTGGCAATAAGAAAGGGCAGCTGTATATTCACCTTGACTATTTTTTATTGTCCCGAGCCTATGATAAACGAGTGCTTTTTCTTGATAAGTTGTTGTTTGATCAAGCAGTATGTCATATATCTCTTGGGCTTTATTGAACTGTCCTAGTTTAATCAGCAACGCACCCAAACGATCCCATCCTTCAGCATAAGAATTGATTTCTTCACGCATATTTCTGATAAGAACATTGAGCTCTGGATCTTCGTCACTGGTCAATGTTAAATTGACTTGCCAGAGACCATGATTTCTATCAATTTGTTTTATTGGTCCGATACGAAAGGCTGAATTTATGGAGAAAAGAAACTCTTCTTCTTCCGTTAAGTAAGTGAAGTCAGAGATGTTTGCAAACGGAACAGTCGATGTTGATGGATCAATAGTTATTTCAAAGACTACACTGACGAAATCAGAATCATATTGGAAACACCCAGCAAACAATAGAGCCATTTCTCGATTAAGAGATGTGCAGAAAAAGCGATTAAATGACAAAAGCCCACCTGGTGTCTTAATGATCTGCTCAAAGTCGGCTTTTGGTAATCCTTGGCCACGATAAACAGTAAATAAGTGGCAAGACGAATGTCCTAGAAACTGTTGAGCATGAAGCTCAGCAATATTGTTGTGAAGATCTCGGATGTAAAATCCCATGAGAATGATAAGGTCGACCTCCATCATGCGTAGCGATCGGTTCAACATTGAATAAAGACAACAGGGGTATGTAAACCACCAGACCGGGACATGTTCATAGTATTCGCGTTGAATTTTATCGACATTGTGAAGCTCGCTCAGGTTCTCGGTGAATAATTGACGACAATAAGTAATAAATTGATCGATATGCTGTTGTTTGAAATCAATGGTTAATAAAATTTCTTTTATTATTTGTGTGTACATGAATGACGGATCTAATTGATCGAAGTTTGACTTGCTGCTTCCACTAGTGGTTGTGACAAAGCTGATTGATGCTAAGTTTTGGTCACATTCTTGTGCCATTTGTTGAATACCTTTACAGATAGAGGCAAAATCTGTAAAGACTCCTTTTATTTTTGGCCATTTTTTGGCCCAACCTTCATATCGGACTTGATTTTCACTCAGAATATAGATAGCATTGATTCGTGAAATGTCATGGATGATGGGAACAGTAGTTCGTCCGAAGGCACTAGAAATGATCATAAATATTCTCTCTTCCTGTATATCGGCTATAAAATCGATGCATTCATTGACATCAGTGAATGTATGTATCTTGTTCATCACTTCTTGTAAGTTGCTGTTTTTATTGATACGAATCTCATTATTCATATCATTGATTTTGGTGTCGAGCCACACCACTAGGAAGTGCTGAACTCTACCAACATATGAAGGACGTCGGGGTATTATCCTGTTTTTCTCAAATGCTGTGGCGGCAGCAGCCTCACTTGTTGTTGTCGGTTTTCTCTTCCTGTCCATAGTGTGTGTGTTCTGTTTTATCTATAAAAAAGCAAAATCAAATCACTTGAATTTCTATAGTACGTTAGAGTTTTTTTTACTAGATGTTTCAAAAGTTTTTGATTGTTGTGGTTTTTCGAGTTCTTTGTGTCTTCAGTTTTACTTATGTGCTTCACTGTTTCTGTATCAGCTTTCAACTCTGTTGTCACATGAAAACGAGAGAATAAAAAAGATTCATTACAACATAATTTCAGGTATTGTCTCTTTTCAATTTCTTTTTATGATATATGGAAAGCTTGTCTCTTATTCTCCTTATGTTGTCTTAAATGGACTCGTACATAGCCATAGAACAGGGCAAATCATTGTTTGAAAACGTATGATGATTTCTTATTTCAGTGGGTATTTTCTGCTCAATTGAGAGTTCGGTAGCATACGAAGCTAACCCTAGCGAAAATCCTTGATTTTTCCGTTCCAGAATCTTAATGAATTTTACCAGGATTCTTTAAGGATTCGTTCTTTTTCCCACCGAAACGTCTAGATCTAAAGAAAACGAGTAACCACAGAGTTTCAATATCCTGACAAGATTCAAAATAAGCTTTCATCAAAATCCTGGGCAGTTTACTACGAGATTTAAAATTACAAATCGGTTCAGGGCAACCAAACCTTGAAAGAAACGTGTAACCAAGAAATGTTAAAGATCTTTGACAAGATGAGTGTGGGTTCACCTTGTCTTAACCCACATTCACATCCTTCTCTTATGTTCTTGTTAAGATCCGTCTTTGATGTAGCTACTATTCTTGGTGGGCCCTCGTATCAGGATTCAGAGTAGATTCCGTCTAAAAAACTGAAAAAAATTGGGAAGAACTTGAACAAATTCTGAGGAGGATCCTGTTCAAGCGTGGGAAATCCTACAAAGAGAACTTAACGTCCCCGCTCAAAAATCGATCTCAGCCTAGGAATATTCAAATAGTATGACATTTTCAGGGATGTTGCATCTGTAGAGAAGAACCTATGGTAAAATTTTCAGTCTAATACCATGACGTTTGAAGAAGGTATGAGCCAAACAAGTGTCATAAATAGCATATTTGGCAAACCAAATTTATCTGTCCTGATTCACTCTATATCATTAGTTTTTTTTTTGTTCCAAAGAGCATGCCAGGATGCAATACAGTACAGAGCTCATTTTTTTTTTAAATTCTTACTTTTTAAGAGAAGCAAAAGGACCAAAAGTTTAATGACTCAAAAGATCCTATAAAAATGGCGCTCTAATTTTATACATGTTTGTATGCATAGTAAAAGCAGAGCTTAATCAAAAATGCTCTATACTGCACTGCATCGAGACGCGCACTTTCAAACAAAAAGAAAATAAATATATTGAATGGGTATTGACAGAGAAGTTGGGATTGCGCAATCAAGAAACTCTAAACAGAGAGCAAACAGAAAAAGATCTTCTGTTTTTTCTAAAAACAGCTTATTTTTCGAATAGGGCATGACAGAAATCTTCAAAAAGTTTCGGAAAAAACGAAATGCAGAGTAAGAATTTTTGTCGTTTATAAAAGACCAGATCACGGGTAATCTTCCCATGCATTTATCTTAATTTCGATCATTCTGATGAAAAGTGATCTTTTTTACGGGGAAGCTTTAATAGGATTAGAGATCGGATCCTAAACAAAACTTGACGAGGCCCAGAATTTCTCAACGAATGAATAGAGTTGAGACTTGGTAATGAAACTATATGTAGATAAGTGTAATTGTTGGGTGCATGTGTAGTTATTCACACCATCATATCTAATTAGTGTATTGCAGACACTAATCAATGTGTAAGTGCGAGTGAGGGTGTGCTTAACCTGCACATATACTGGAAATGTCAGCAGAGTAGAGTGACATCTGTTGAGGCGAACAGATATCCTTGAGTTTAAAAAACAAGCGATTTTGAAGAATTCAATGAATTTATTTTGATTATTTTCCTATACTCAAGTAAAAGCAATACACAAGTTTGAAACAGCACATGATAAAAAAAAATGAATTGTTTGTTTAGTTTATGAAAATAGCTTTCTTGAAAACAAGTAATAGCAATACAGTAGAATGAATTTGATATCTATTAACAATAACTAAGTAAACAAGATGATAAAATATTGTTGAAATAGAATTTCATTTTAATTGAATTCAATTTATTAATCATTTCACTAATCTAGATTACATTTCAATCGTTATCATTAAACACAATAGATGTTCTAAATAAAAACAAAATAATGGATAAAAGTAAAGATACGTTTCAGTATGGCTCTAACATGATTGAATTTATCATAAAATCATCGATGCAATTCAATAGCGAGACATTGATTAATTATGAATCAAGCTGAAAAATCACAATAGCAGTAATAGATTTTTGGAATAGAACAAAAATCTGATATCAGTGGTCAACTATTTCTTCGTTTGTTTTACTTCTGACAGCTATTTCCTTTATTAATGACTTAATTACGTATTCAAATATCAAATGAAAGAACACCATTCTATCACTTGGCCTAGCTCAGTTTCCTGCAACTCAGTTAAGTACACGGCACCTGAATCGAGCCGGAGCACTTGAAAGCAGATCTTAAAAGTGGAAAGCAGTATTGTATTACTAAAGAAACTCGTTTTCAATGAAAATCCATCTACAAATGATAAGAAACAATATGACGTAGTCATTAAATACATGGAAAAGAAAACGAATTATCGAAAACGTGAACGTCTTTCATCCTGATGGAAGAAAAACATTCATGTATTTTATGTGTCCATAATTATGACGTTTAGCAACAACATTATATTCTATTCCAGCGTCATTAGTAACAAGTGAGTTGCTTGCTTTTTTTATAGAATTTAAGAAGATCCATTTTTCTTCTTACTGTTTATGCAAGAAACTAAATAGTATTCATTTTCATATAAAATAAAAGTCTACAAACCGTTCTGTAATTGTATAAGAATTTGTTGGATGTCAATTAATTCTGGCTCAGATCCTAGTTGCGAAGAGTCGTACCCGTCCAGGAAATTAGTCTAGCTTGACCAGTTTCGATATTTGTAAAAGAATACTGGCTAAAATAATAAAAGAAATACTTATCTAAAGAACAACTATTCTTTAAATTCGTAATTGATTAATATATCAATGTTAAGAACATATTTTTTTATTGCTAAGATACATTTATCAAAGAAACTTTGATTAACATGAAGCAATAAGGTTAATCATAGCTTATATACAAAACAATAAAAAACAAATAACAAAACAAAAACATGATTAGCGTTTAGAATGTTTTTGGACTCGTCTTAAACATTCGTTAATTTGTGTCACTAATGAATGTGTTTGTGGAAAATTATGGTTATAGATTTCAGCGGCTCGTGAATAATTTCTTTTAGCTTTTGAGTGTTCGGATCTTTTTTCATTGATTTTACCAAGATTGTGATAACTTACACCAATATCAGGATGATAAGGATTAATGTCACTCAAAGATTTTAATCGGAGTCGTAAAGCTTGTTCAAAATGATCGTTGGCGGCCTCGACATTATTGGATGAAGCTAAATAAATACAACCAAGAAGATCATGTGTTGAAGCTCGTTCTACATCATTGTGTCGAATTTCCAGTGCTTGCAATGCCAAGACACTAGCTTTGTTATAATCTCCTCGACCATAATAGATACTGGCTATCTATAAGAAAAACAAATAACAAAATTTAGAAGAAAAAAGATCGCAACTGATTACTTACATTATGTTGACATGTACCCACACCAGGGATATTATTTATCTGTGAATAAATTTCATGTGCCATTTTATAATATCTTAATGCATCATGTTGGTTTCCCATTTCATTGTAACATATACCAATATTATTCAAGTAAGTTGCTCGAATTCTATTATTATTATCCGATAAACGGTCAAGTGCATCTGAGAAATATTTAAATGCAGACTCACATTTTCCCATATCAAAAAGTAATTTTCCGAAGAGAACTGATAGATTATCAGAATCCACGTTGTTCGCATACGTTTGCTCAATATATTTAATAACAGTCAATTGATCATATTGGCTTAATAAAAGATGAATTATATATATATTTTGTTCATTATTAAATTTGACTGATTTAACACGAAATATTGATCCAATAGACAATAGAACTTCTTGTTCGTGTGGAAATTTACTAAAACTACTGATATCGGCAAATGCTACACTATGTTCACTTGTCATATCAATATCGATTTTCATTAGAACAGGTTTCAAATCTTTTTGCATACGATGCACAATAAAGCTCATTGCAACATCTTTGTCCATTGTTGTTGATACGAATCCATTGAGAGATATTAAACTATTGATATTTGTTTCAAGAAGATGAATATATTCTGATTTCAACGTTTGGCCACGATAGAGATGAAGTAAAGATTTTCTTTTTGGCTTTTTATTGTATTCTTTAATGAACTGTTCATATTGTTGTTTCAATTGACGGCAAAGTAATTTAATGATGTAACGACAAGTATAAACTTGTGAGACATTTTCTTTTCTGAAGACGGTATTCGTACATTGATAAATAAATGAATTATCTGTATAACCAAAAATAGCTTTTTCTTTATCTTCAATCAATGATTGACTTTTAAATTCTTCGATTTTACTCAACATTTTACTTTGTCCATGGAACAGTTTAAGACTATGTTCAATCATTTCTGTTTTCGCTTTTCTATCATCATCATTTTCCAATGTTACCATAAATTTATGCATTTGATTAAACCAAAGAAAACTTGCTTGATCTTCTTTTAAATTTCGAATTGGATGTTGATCTTTAGACATATCTTTCGTTGGTATTGAATCTATGAAATATAAAAACAACATCATAATTCATTATTTTCCAGATGCCGAAATTCAAAATTTTGCGAAATTTTGGTTTGCAGTTTATTTAGTAGCATTATTTAGAGAACGTCGAGTTACGTATGCAAAATTGATTTTCCGATTTTGAAAAACAATTTTTCCTGGAAATATTGACAATATGACAAAGCTCTAAAAGTCACGATAAAAATCGTCCATTATCACAGATATATAAATATTTTATTTCTCGCTTTGTAGAACTCTATGAGAATTATTTTCTGATGCTGCAAATAAAATTAACAAAAAAATCGTAAATACATAATGTTTTTGTTTGATCAATTCCATTTGCAGAATCAAGAAAGAATTCTTATAGTGTTCTATCAGGTGAAAAATAAAATATTTATATATCTGTGATAATGGATGATCCTAATTATGATATTTAGAATTTAGTCATTTTTCGAATATTTTCAGGAAAAACTAGTTTTCATAAATATAAACTATTTTACCTGAATTTATAGAGGATTGATCTGGCATCATACTAAAATCAGTTGTCACATTACTTCTTGCTATAAGCATTTCAATACAGTTCGTTAATTCATCAGCGTCTGTACAAATTGCTCGAAGTTTATTATATTTCAAATGTTCATAATTGTCAATGTTTTTACAAAAAATAAAAATTCCCAAAATGCATTGGCACTCTTCTATGGCAGGTATTGCTTTTTCACTAAGAGCACCAGATACAATACAAATAATGTAAGATATTGTCTGTTTGGCATCTACTTGTCGTATATAAGCAATAAATTCTTCTGTACTTGTAAACGAATCTAGTGCTCGATCAATTTCACTGAATTTTTTTAATATTCGTCGATTGTAAAAGCTGTTCATATTTTTATCAAGCCATACTATATGATATTGGCCAGCTAGATCGTCTTCAACATCTATAGACGATTTTTGTGATATGTTTGATGCCATCTTTCCTAACTGCATTACACTTTTTTTTATTTTCTTTTTTTTTTATAAAGAAACAGCTATTATTTTTTTTCTTCTTTACAAACACACTTGACTATTCTATAGAAAAAAAACTAACCTTTTTTTCTTATCGTCGACACCGACGATGAAGCAATAAAAAAAAAGAATTCTTTTTTTGTCCATTGTTGAAAACAGAACGAGCTTTAAAAGTAAAGTTAATAGTATCTTTTTTGTTTTTTTATCTTTAAAAAAAAATGTTTGTGCATTATGTTCTCAAATAAAAAGAGTCTTATATGCACAAAAGACTTTTTATGCCTTTTATTTTATTTCTTCTTGTTTTTTTCAAAAAGAACGTCTGCATAGCCTTGATCTCGTTCTTTCAGACAGTGCAATAACCATCAGGTCATGAAGCTACAAGGTATGAGTACTCGTTGTTAAGTGCATAGCAACGAAGGACTTTTGCGTAACATGTCAAACGAAGATAGCCTTTTTCTTAAAAAAAAACAACAGAAATTATTTGTACTCCAGTAGTTTTATTTGATTTTGATAGATTATGCCTTCACATTATCTATTTTGTTCAACAAAATCTGTTTCATAAATTCACTCTAGTGAAACATTGTCACATGACAATTATGTTGCAATTGATCTTTCATATATACAAACTGTATGTTAACGCCTACTAGTTAATAATTTTATCTATCAAGAAGATAATGCTATATCGCATACACATTAGAAATCGCTGGCATGGTGTAAAGAGAATTTCATACATTTCATCAGCAATCATAGATAAATTAAGAACTACTCTGATTTATTTTATTGATCAAATAAAACAACGACGAAAATTAGTCACATAGAAGTTTTTTCTATTTACAACACTAAAGGTGTATACATAAAATAAGCTTTGTATGAAAGATTGTAAAGCTTTTCACACGGCATATGGTAGTATATTTTGTTTTTTTATAATATGTATTAAATGACGAAAAACTCAAATGCAAAACGTCATTATTCATTACGACTTACTCTTTCTTGTAAGGACTTATCTAATTTATCCTTTATTTTTAACTGATGGATCATTTATATGACTTTACATTTTGAATTATTAATGTGTTAGGTGAAATAAAATGTTTGTTTAGATATGTGTTGATAGAGAATTCATTGAACTTTAATTTTCTAAGTTTAAACAAAAGATTTCTTTAATACAATACAAAGTTTTAGATTAACTGTAACATGCAATGAACCGGAAAAGAACTAACAACTTTTTGTTACTAGTGAATTATGACTGAAACTGGATAATACTATAGGCAAATAATTTATAATTTTATGTTCTGTTTCTTTTTAGTAATTACTAAAAGACTACACACAGGTATGAATTTAAAAAAAGGCCTATTTAATTTTCTCTTGTCTTAAAATAACAACGAAATATAAAATGCTCGGAGTTGATCAAAAGTGTTGATAACATTAAATAAAATTCAGTCTTTGCTAACCATATCTAAAAGGTTTTCTTACCCTCTTTGTCTAAAATATTTTTGAACCCTTGAGAAACTACATGAACTAATCATCCTTGATTTGCTGAACTGATTTCTAGAATTTATCTTGAAATTTACGAAATTTTTGTGAAAGATTGTATTCGTTACATTCTATTATCATTCGTCATCAGACATGACTTAATCTTAGATTGGTTTGTAGCAAGTTATCTATTATTAGCTAGTTTAGTGAATATCAAGCATCACAGATTATTATTCGTAGAGGCAGATTTGTACAAAAACTTTGTTTTGTATATTCTTAAAATCGAATGTCCTGTTCTTGTACATAATGTCAATATAAGCAAGATTATTGATCACAACTACTATATTGAAACATGTCTCAAGCCTTTTGTTAATAAAATATGGAAATAAAGAGATTCATTAAGATTATAATAGTCGACTTGATACTTATCTAAATGCTATTAATTATTTAACAGTCAGCATCATATATATTAATATCATATTCGCTGTATTCATAAGAACTTGCACTATGTGATTTTTTGGCTAAATGATTCTATCAAGCGCTATTTAACTAGTCAAACAAATAAATGATGATGAGCTCATACGGTTTCCCCACCTTCTAAAGAAACTATCCTTTCTTTGAAAAGCATAGCTCTATCTATGAAAATCAGTGACTTTGATTAGTTTTCTTGTATTTTGAAAATAGCTTATATACACTTTAGTTACTGCATTTGATGTCATGCAAATGAAATAGTTATGTGACGTATTTCTAGGACGAATAATACAAGCTTTGTATGCTCTTGTAAACGATCTTGTTGCGTATGATTGTATGTGTAGACATTCAGTGTAAAGCTTAGCTAAAGTATAGAGTATCTCAAAACTATAGAAAAACCTACCGATTTTGTCGAAAAACATTCCTGAAATTTTAAGAAGCTGATGTTATAAAGTTTTTTTTTTGAAATTGAATCAATTCTTTTCAAAAACATCAATAGGATGTTCTATAATGTCAGAATATCCGATACAATTTCTATATTAAACTCGTTCAGACACTAACTTTTGATCTATTCACTTCAACTTTGTAAAGGTCTACTATAGGCAATCCTAGTCATATTTGGCCATGTAAACCACCATATCCATCAGAGTATAGCTGCTTGCAACCTAGGGCACATCCGAATTCAATGACATAATATAGATGTTTTCACTTCTTTTCCTCACGCAACATTATCTGGTGTGATAATATCATGAGCTATGAAAGTAGAAAGATCTGACATTGACGAACAAATGCAGATTGATCTAAAGCATTATATAGTATACATACTAAAACATGAGCTAAACCCAAAATAATGAGTGTGCAATTATCTGATCGTCTCATTGCTAGGCTGAATGGTCAAACCTAACTTTTTTGGTGTGTATCTTGTAGTAAAATCCTCCCATCCACATTCAAAACCATGAGAAAATTTTCTTGCTATGTAAATCAATGATTATGAGCATATAAAATTGTGATTACTATTCAAATAGTCAATGCTTTTTAAAGAATAGTCAGTTTTTTTGTTTTCATTATTTTAATATTTCATGAAATGCAAATTTTTCCCGCAATGACAATGGAATAAGCTTTGAAGCTCTAAAATTTTATTAAAATGAATAAATTGAATATAAAATTTATTTTACATCTAAAAGCTTAAATTAGATTTATTAATTCTTTTCTTTCAAATGGATGGATTAAAACAAAATCTGAGAAAATTTTTGCTGCCTATATTTTTCTATTTTATCAGTCCATCAACATATCCATATGTCTTTATCTAAAACAGAATAGATACTATAAAAAAAAGTCCAGTAATTAATCAAAAACAGTCTTATAATTAATTTATTTCCGTCGTCTTTTTCTTACTTGTCACTGTCTTGATCTAACTGATTGACACATACATATCAGCTGCTTGTACTGCAAAAGATATAACTAAAATGATCCGACGACCTTTTCTTCACTCCTAACGATATACAGAAGTTAATTTAGTGTTATTGACTTGTTGAGTTGAGTGTATATGCGGACTAATTATTTTTGGCTTTTCCTTCAATGAATACTTCATTGGTATCTTCTTAATAAGTAGTCCAACTGATCGGTAACGACTTTTGTTCGACTTATAACAATAAACGAGAATCATTAATATTGTTTGAAACACATCACAATCATTTCAAGATGTTATCATTAGAGACATAGCTCATTTGTCATATACATATATATGTTTTTCTTTTTAGAGGCAACATATCTTCTGTTACTGGCACTTCTATAGTCATCTATCCTTTTCTGTTTTACTATATAATTAGATACAACTCAATATAGGATAATCAAAGCGAATATCTACTTGATATTTCTAAAGAAAATTAGATATATATTTATGCTAATAATGAATATTACTGTAGTGTCGAGAAGTCTTTAATTATTATTCATCGTCTTCATCCGTTTGTTTTTCGTATGGAATGATTACTGTCAATAATTCATTTTTATCAAACAATACAACAATAGATTCTGTACATTCGTATCTAAATTCAACCATTGAAATTCATGATACATCAGCGGTCAGTACAATAATTACAATTATTATTCTATCAATCTTAAGTGTATCTGGTTGGATATTTATGTCATATGCACTTTTTGGTCGATCTGAAGCTTATCATACAAAGCCTGATGATCAATTTGGAGCATCACTTCATACAAATAATCCAGATGGACCAAATCCAAATGATTTTACAGCTGATCTTGACTAGATATTAAACTTATATGATTGACTAATTCAAAAACTTATTTATTTTTTTATTCAAAATACTAATTAAAAACAAACCAAGATAAAAACGTTCAAACGAACAAGCAGACGGACATTTATCATTTCTTTCTTTCACGATATTCTACTTGACGTTCATAATGATACTATTGTCAATATGTAAAATATTAAAAACTTTCTTTGTATGTTATTTAACCAATATAACCTAGATAATCGCATGGTGCGAACGCATAGATAGTGTTTCTTATTCACAAAAGTATTCGTGTTGATAAGATCTTTTACATTCTCTATCCATATTTCCTGTGTAAATAAAACAAGGTGTACTAGGCACACATGCACTATTTGACAACCAATATTTCCAATATGCCATTTACCATTAAACAGAATCATTTTTGGTGTTCTTTGAGTTACAATTCTACCTGGTTTTAACGATCAATATTGATCATAGTATTTTCATGGTTAAAAAAAATTCAATTAATTTGATATATTTGAACTTTGCTACCTCTTAATTGATATGATAGATACATATTGTGGTTGTAATGAAATTAGATTTTTATATTGTTCATCAATATTTGATTGCACCATAGAAAAAAACTGGTAATAGACATTGGTTTTAATTATAAAAAAAATATTTTCTTTTATTCAAATAAAAGACAAATGAATGACGATGTATTCATAATTTTTTCTTCAATCTTACAATTGAAGTCTTTTACCTGAGAAACACTAGAGAAGAGGGATTTTC